GCAGGGGGCGCTGTTGACCCGCCCGCCGCTGCCTCTACTCGCCGCCTAACCGCGCGTCACGCTGCGTTGAGGTACGTCACGACGCGTGCGCCCACGTCCCGCCCAGTCCACCGCTTCGCTTCGCCCAGCTCGCGCTCACGCCCCGCCCGCGTGCGGATGACGTAGTTGGCCGGCGGGCTGAGGCTAGGCGTGGGTGGGGTCGGTCGCCCAGGGAGTGTCGGGTCTTGGGAGCTGAGGGCTCGGCTCCTCTGCCAGCGTAGGCCACCTCTAGCGAGAGGGTAGGACACTTGCAAGGTCTGAAGGTGTGCCCGGGTCGTCGCCCGGCCTGCAGGATGGCCGGGGGTCGCTCGGCCGGCTCCTACTGTAGCCTTTAAATGTTTCCTGCGCTCTCAGCTTCCACCTCGTTTTAATTTGTTTCACTTTTGTCATCGGAAGAGTGAGGTGGTTCCCCAGAAGTTCAGGTATCTTAGGGAATGTAGTGTAGAAAGGTAATTTGGTTCCTTTTTTAAGAAAATTGTTACTAGCGGTTTGGTATCAGTTCAATAAGATTGTCCCCATCCTCGTGCCTGTATCATGGGACAAAGGCCCTGGTGGTGCAGTGGTTAAAGCGCTCGGCTGCCAACCAAAACATCAAGAGTTGGAACTCTACAGTTGCTTGGGCAGCCGACAGCGGCACTGGGCTCCCTTGAAGATGGACTGTCTTGGAGACCCTGTGGGGGCAGTTCCACTCTGTCCTCTAGGGGCGCTGTGAGTCGGAATCAGTGGGATGGCAGTGCGCTTTTTGGATTATGATGCCTGACTGCTGGTAGCTGGCTTGCTTTACTTGCAGATCCACCTTGTTCTGCATTTTCTTTGTGCAGACGGGAAATGCTGGGTCTCAGAAGCGCCCTTCCGGCCGTGGTGGGCCTCCCAAACATTGTCGTTTCGCCCTGGGGAATTGGTGGAGGGTGTTTCACACATCAGCACCCTGAGTTGTTAGTATACAAGAAATCTTGCCAACAAACATATGAAGAAATGCTCACGATCATTAGCTATTAGAGAGATGCAAATCAAAACAACAATGAGATACCATCTTGCTCCAGCACTAG